TTCCTTCTTTAGTGAAAAAAAAAATGAAGAAAAACGAGAACTTTCTAAATCTTTAGAAATACTAAATGTTTTCAAAGTATTTCTGTGTTAAAATGTAAGCCAGAACATTTTCAAATAGACTCAGCTTTGTTAAGCTAGATGAGAATGGAAACAGAGGGGTCAGGTATATGGAGTGAGCCAAGACGGTGATTTAGTAGGACAGGTTTTCCATAAAAGCATGTGATTGAGAACTACGTTTCTCTATAAATCTGCGATATATATCAAATACTAATGTGTAATATCCCTACTTCCGTATCAATCTATTGATATATAATCATGTAATACGTTTCTCCTGCGAATGTAGCTACATATTTTTTGCTTTAGATACTGCCCGGCAAATTCATGCATATGGGCAATAGTTCTTAGTAGCAGGCAACAGACCATGTAAACAGCCAACATAGCACATAATGAAGCTCACGGAGAACAAATTCTATCACCAAATGTCAGTCAGCCAACCCCTCTTCTAGATGATTTCCTTAGATATATTAGATAAACGAATAAAATATTTCTAAGTATGACAAAATAAATACTGGTGTTTTAAAACATTTTATCTGAAATTCAACGGAAAGGAGCTTTGTCTGCTTCTCAGGGCACAGCAACGTGTGTAACATGATGTTTCTCTGTTACGCACCTTATCACACTGTCTACATGCAATCTTCTTCCCGCTATCACTATTCATTTCTCATGTGCCAAGTATTCATTAATCCTTTAACCTCGGTAGGTAGAAACCAGTTTTTCTCTGCAGAACACTCAGCACCGGGGCATCGTTGCTCCCTGTTCCAAGTGGTTAAGAAGGATGAATGTTAATACTCGTGGTTTTTATTGATAAATCTGAATATAAGCTACGCATCTATCCGGGGATATAGCGGATATATCCGGATTCCAGCGGTGTTCTATAGTAGCCTGCTTCCTGTGGGATTGCATATTTTATCTTTTAAAACAAGTGTTACAACGTTAACTTTTGACTTGGGTAAAATCTTCTGACATCTAATGAATCGCGTATGTAACTTACAGTGAGCTGTTGGAACTGGTTCTGTATCTAGAGTAATAATATAAGGAAATACGTTGCTTGGGTCATTAGACTGTATTTTAACTCCATTTTAACTCACTTTTCTCCAAAGGAAATGATTACACTAGAGGCAAAATTGTAATAGCAAATCATGCCTAATCCCCTTTATAGCTTGCGGAGACATATATTTATATAGACTGTGAGGTAGACTTCTGTTTATATCCATTTTAGCACTTCTTATTTGCCATTCTGCCCTTTTTTTTTTTTTAACCTTGTGGAAATAAAGGTAAGATGCGGGGACAAATAGCGAGGGGGTTATGTTACCTAAACCGTTTATGCCAAAAGGCGGCAGAGGAGCAGTTACAGGAAGAACACACGAAGCGATGCATAGACGTTGTTTCAGGCAGCTGGCATGAAATCCTCTAAGGGAACAAACATTGGTTCTGGTTCTTCTGGCTTCCTCGGTAAATATTGTGTAGAGTAGCAAACATTAGTTTGTATTTACTGAAAGTAATAGCGTTTTAGCAGTAATTATTTACCTGAGCTTAGCCTGGCTTTCTATGTAAACAGGCAAGCTATACAGGCTCTTACAAACACACTCACGCGATGGGCCAACCTACTAGACAAGGGATCCCTCTTTCTGCATTTTATTTACCAAATTATTGTTACGAGTGGGATCCTCTGGAGCTGCTGAGCTGAGCTTGAATGTGAGGAGGACGAGGGGTGGGGACCCATAAAGAACTTGCCATTTTCTACCTGCTCTGATCACGGCTTTTGCCAGGGTCCAGCACGACACCCTGAATATTCACAAGGCTATTAAGCTTCCTTAAATTGAATCCCCCCCCCCAACATTGCCCAGAAACCATCTTAGCAGTCAGGGCTGGTCAAAGCTCACCTGCAGCCTGGCCACACCGCATTTACTTCATGCAACACGAACCATAGGGGAGGCGGCAGAAAACAGCCACACCAGCTTTACATTAACAAAAGGCTCTCCAAGGCAAGGGAATCCCTCGGTAACCTGCCAGGCCAGCTTAATAGCTTTGACACCGCTCAGGCATGGGCCAGGATCTTTCCACCAAAATATTCCACCGTGTAAACACGTACGTGTAAGAACACTTTTGAAAAAGAAATAAGAGATTCGCTTCTTAAAGTTTAACACCGACGCTCAGGATTTCTGTTTTTGTTTCCTAAGGTTTTTAAAGTTCTTCTTTTAAAACATCCATGTAATAAGGAGAGCTTATGTTTTAAAGAAACTTTAAGATTTTGGGATCTGTTTCTCTGTATACTGTTATTAAAGCCTTTACAACCCAGTATCCGCAGCCCTTACGTGTGAAAATCTTCCCATAAAGGCAGTTCTCAGTTTGCAGAGGCGCGACTCGGACTTAAGCGCCGACCTCCGTGCAG